TGGGGCCGCACCACGGCAGTGCCAGCGGCGTGGAGCGAGGCAGCACCGCCGCAGCCACGGTACGCTCGGGACGAGCGGTCCAGCTGCGCCCGAACGCGGGGCTCGCGTCCCTCGCGTTGCAGAGGAGAGAATCAATTCCTTGGAACGCAAAAGCGAATGCACGGATCGGAAAAATTCAAGATACTGATTAAAGGCAGCGACGCTGAGTGCCAGTGTTCTACGCGGGCAGACACGCAGCTCTTAACACACAACCTACGTCATCACGGACTACAAACCGAGGTACGTGGCCCGGTCTTAATTTGATCAGTTGATTATTCAAATATTCTGCTGACTAATGCGGGCTCCCGTGTGCACTCTCATGTACCCGACAGACAGGATTCTTAGCTGGAAGAGCTATACTGTATCTTCGCTAGACTAGATGAAAGAAAATATTTGGCCATAACAATTCCGCGTTCCGTCTTGGCGACTAAACAGCCATCATGCACACGTGCAGATTGGCCCACTTATCAATTATCCAAAGGCTGAGTCGTTCCCGCCCCTCCTCCAAATCCAAGTTCTTCCAATCCAGCAGCCGACCCCTTCAGCTTGGGCAACTCACGGTCCTTCCTAAACGCTGCTTTTAAAATCTTCTCTTCATGTCTAGTAACGTTTTGGCTCAATCTTTAATTTAGAACAAAAATCCCGTCCGGATGGGGAAGATGCAGGTTACCTGCACGCGCTTCCCGTTCCCCAGCACGGAAAAAAAAAACTCTGCGAGCGGTACGCGCTGCCGGGAAGGGTCGGAAACCACGCTCTGCTCAGAAGCGAGATTCCGCTCGTGTTTCACAAAGAAGAAGCTACAGCTCGGCGAACGTTTAAAGCTAACGCTGTTACGACTGCAAAACGAGTCCTGTCTTTACTGTACTAGCAGAGGAGTTTCCACAGGCAATCCAGAGTGACTGTGTTATTTTCCTCCTACGGTGCAGATTCCCTCATCCCGCGCGAGTCTGTCAGGGAACTGCTCCGCCACACCCCGCGCGAGGAAGCCAGCCGCCGTCGCTCAGACGGACTGAAGGCTTCCAGCACCACACTGAGGAAAAAGGCGAACTACACTGGAAACAAACCCCAAAACCTGTCGCTACAGACAGCGGCTGATCAAAGTGAAAGATGACGCTT